CTTCCTTTGAAGTCGGAGTGCGTTCTGCCGGAGAGGGCAAGTGAACCACTACAGTCTGTATTAAAAGAAATGAGATCTCTGTAAAACTGATGCACACGCAAAACACTCAGGTTTATGGAGCAAGGACTGCAGTTCAGTAGTAGAGGAGCAACCAGCAGAACCCTCCGCGCCAGGAAGTTTTACAGACTGATGTGAACGCGAAGAAGAAGAAGAAGATTAGCCAATCGTCCTTGATGTTCAGATCTTTTTTAAGATGTCAATATTTCATCATCTTCTTTGTCCCAAGATATTCTGAGAATCTTTCTATAGCATTTCAGCTCAAAGGCCCCTATTCTCTTCTTAAAGGACTTGAGAGATAGTCCACGACTCACATCCGTATGTGTAGTCACAGGGAAGATGCATGCTCTCAAGATTCCAATTTTGATCTCCTTGGCTGGTGCTTAACCATAGACTTTTAAGGCTGTTCAATCTTTGCATTGCTTTGGCCATTCCTCTTTTAATTTCTGTCGAAAACAGTCTCCATTGCTGTTTATTATAGGAGCCTAGATATTCAAAGTTTGTGACATTTTCAATTTCTTCATCATTTATTTGTATGTTTTGGGTGCCAGCCAGGTTTATCTGTGGACATTTATTTCCGTTTTCTCTCAATTCAAGAACAGATTTTGATCTTCACTGTGCTTTTGGCGGACATTATTAAATTTTCTATTCCTTTTACGCTGTTCGAAAGGAGGACTGCAAGGTGTCACTGCGTAGTGGAGCTCCGGAATAAAGGTTGCCACCAATTTTGAGCGGATCATAACTGTCACACAACAAGTCTGGTCATTTTGACATTTCTCATTATATTTTCTGCGTATATATTGAATAGGTATGGTGAGAGAATGCACCCCATGCCTCACCCCCTTTTGCATCTCGAACCAATCAGATGTTTCACCAGCTGCTTGATGGCTGCCTGTTGCTCATGATAGAGATTCAATTAAAAGTAAATGAAACCCACTTTTCATAAATGCGCTGGTGTTGACAAACATTAGTTTCTTATTAACCCATTACTGTTGCAGTTTCATAAAACCAAGAATAATAGTCCGTTTACTTTTGTTGATAAGTAGTGTGTGGTGGTTATATATATTTATAACATTAGTTGATAACAGACTCGTGCATAATAATACAAACTGATAACAGATTACGGTATACGTGACAACAGTAGTAGTGATCAGGAATAAAATCCATAGATTTCTTCTAGCTTGTTCCTTGCTTAACCTTTGGCTAAAGTTAAATTAATTGGGGGGGGGAGGGGGGGACTGCCCGGCGCACTGTTGCAGTTTCCCGAATTTTTTCAAAACAAGAATGCAAAATCATCTTTAGGGTGTCCGAGACTGCTTTAGGGTGTCAGTGGGGAAATACTTTTTGTCTAGAAACATAAGTATGTATGGTTTGAAATCTTCCCTCCTCAGATATAGAGCCACGGCATGTTTATTTTCTATATATCCTATCTGAACCGCCATTAGCAAAATGTTAAAGACAGGGAAAAGCTGATAACAGGCTCGTGCATTAATAATATCTTCCTAAAATATGTAGATAACAGATACGGTAGCTTTTAAGAGTGACAATATTTTAGATGTGACAACAGTAATGTTGTACGTCTATGATCAGGAACACAAATCCATAGAAGTGGTTCATTGGAATCTCTAGCTTTCTGTTACGAAAAGAGAGAACCCCTTTCATTAGAATTAACTGGGAATTGTTCCCTTATGCGAGCAAAACGTAATGACAATGGTTTCTTCCAAACGTCACATGGAAGACGCTTTTTTAGCTGTGGAGGGTGACCACATAGGGTAGGGGGTTCATTTTTTACTTACTCCACAGGGGGACTAAAAGCTGCCGGATCAGAAGAGCAGTGTTCTATCTATCCGCCTGTCGGAGCTTCCTTCATAGACCAGCTGCCAGTCAAGGCGAAGGGCCTGGTCTGGCTTGCCATAACATACAGTTTTCAGGTTGCATTTCCTCTTCCTCTGAAAAGGTTAGTATCCTCCCCTATGCGCTTCTCCGCCCGAAGCCGTTGGCACAATATGGGATGTTTGGTTAGTATAAGCCCAGACATATATAACAATTATGGAGCGGAAGATTTGCTAGACTCATAGACCTAACGGAACACTGTGGATGATCTAGTCTTATCACGCTGGCCGTCTTCATTTGCTAGAACATTACCTGGCCCTCATTCTCGGCTGGGGTGACCTGGGAGCGAATGTCAATTGTTAAGGGAGAAAATATGTCTTAATGTGGATTCTAACCTATAAACTTCTTGCAAACAGGCCGGCGTCTAGCCACTTAGCTTCTGCGGGTCACGGAAACAGACTTACTTACCCCAAAAAATGTATGCAACCTGGTATCCGGCAAACTTCATGCTTCCAACCTGAAACAGCAGACATTTGGTAGTTATTAGCACCCACAGATGGGGTATAAAGTAAAAGGAATAATGTGAGTAAGAGATTGTAAAATCGTAATTGTAAAAGTTCAGGCATGTGTAAATGTAAAATGTTAATCAGGCTGTGATATTAACGCTTAACTGAAAGGTGCAAGTTTGACGACTCTCATGTGAAGCTTTTACTTCTCGGAGTGTCTTCGTGATAGGGAACTCAAACAGACAGTTAAAAAAAGAAAGACGAAATGCAAAGGTAATTAATTAATCAAAGAAGTACATACAAATTTTACTCCAGTGGCCTTTAGGGAAAATTATCCTAGACACATATTATCAACCAATTTGCCAAATGGACGTGGCTTAGAGCAGCAAAACCTGGCATATGATATCACAATGTCTATTTTGAGAATGGAGGTGGAGGCAGTCACTGCTGCCTTCTGCTGGTTTGAGAATCAGCTGTACACACATGTCGTAATTGTAACTGACTCACAGAGTATGTTGAGCGGGGTCACGCCAGCCGCCTTTACTTCCTGTGACTCTCTTTTTCCTAAAGGCCATGCCGTGTGGCGTTGGTATTCATGACTATCCACCTACCTTCGATGCAGAGTGGCAAGCATCTCTTCAGAGGTTTCTGGTATTTAGCGTGCTTTGGATATTTTCTCCAGGTCATAATGGTGTCTTGGGAAACGAGCAGGCCGATAGATTGCAGGTACTGCACCACTTTGTGGTGAATTGATAATGACAAGCTAGATGTTGTGAGCGCCTGAACAGTGCGGAGGCAGAGATAGATCATTACGGTCTGAGGAGAATGACCTACAGGGAGTTACCAGCAGATCTGGCAGATGCTCTGCACTCAAGAAAAAGACAAGATGGGTATACAATCAGACATTTACTGGTACCGTCGGAATCTGAACTTTTTCGCTTGCTGCTGAAGATGGGGACAGAGCGCGTATGGAAGTGCAGTGTTGCAAGCAATACACTCATATGGGAGTGTTCCGAATGCTATGATGTCGATTCTTAATTCAACATTTAAACGAATTGGCACTCAATGGGTGACGTTGTCAACATTACACCGGCCGCCTTTACTTACTGGGACTTTCCTCTTCCTAAAGTTCATACCGTGTGGTACTCATGCTGCTTATGTCTATCCACCTGTCTTCGGTCTGGTGTTGTTTCAATCTACTCGACACAGATGATCCTCCATGCCATGATATCAAACTGTCTACCATCTTTTCTCCCAGTCTCCCTCTGCCTCTCCTCCCCTCTAACTTTCCAACAGTCACTGTCTACTCCAGTTTTCTCATTCTTATCACATGACTAAAGAATGTAGATTGACTCTTTCTGATGTGGGCAATCAGTTCTCTTTGTGAGTCAGTTTCTTTCAAGTCTTCTTTAATACTTTTTATTATTGGTCTATGAAACCACATCTCCACAGCTTCCATATAATTTTTCTCTAATCTATCCATGATTTATTTCCGTATATCAAGAACGGATGTGTATAGCTTTTCAGAATGTTCTTTCTCGTCTTAACTGACAAAGAATGACTGCATAAAATGTTCTTCATTTTGTAACATGCTGCCTTTGCTTGCTGTTCTACATTTAACTTCTGCACTTTGCCTGGTACCTATTTTCAACTGGGTAGATAAGAAAACTAAGTTCCATGTTTGTTTAAATACGACTCTGAGAGTTCGAACCTAACATCTAGCCACTACGCCACCGATACTCCCAAGACATGCGTATATGTCTTCAGACTTGCAGTCTGGGATAGGACAAAATTACGGTTGGGCAATATCGCTGGGGGAGCCATTATCTATATTACTATAAATGCAGTTCTGAGTCAAAAGTACATATACTGACAGATGCTCGGTAAGTATTGCAAGCAACACACAATGATAAGTAACTACAATTCTACAAGTTTAGATCTATGCTAAGTAAAATGGGTCAGTTAACTAAGCAGACTGTGCTTTAGTGGATCCTAGGCCGCTGCAGCCTTATCAGAAATGAAAAAGCAGAGTACTTAGCAAGTGCTGGTTAGTGTAACCACTAGAAGTTGTATAAAGAGAAAGGAGATGTAAAGTGTAAGTAGGACCTAACAATCTCATGGGAGTACGGGGGTCTTGGTAATGAATGAGATTATTGCCTGCACGTTGATTCTCTGTTAGTTAAGTTTTGCCACTTTCTGTTTTAACTGATGTTTCCATAGACGATGAACTGCATTTCTCGTCCAGGAATGTTTGTGTTGGCACATCTGACAGCTGAGTATGCATTTAATGCAGGTGTATGCTATTGGCTTGCTTAGACAGCATTATGTGTATTCCCCCCCCCCCCCCCCCAAGGAACTGTAAAGGACATTCTATCTTGTTTTAGCTGGCCCAGAGCGGAGAAACTATGGAGTGGCCCGTTTGCTATAAAGTTGGGAATGCGTTGCCTGATTGCCTTACCTCTTTATTTTGTAACGGTTGACACTAGCGACTGCCCACACATTCATCTTTAAACTGCATAATGTTAAACTAGCCAGCAATAGAGACTCACACATAAACTAGAGGCACTCGTTTCTGAGGCGGGAGGAATGTTCTTGAAATCGCCTCTATACAGCGCAAACAGGTTTGTCCTGTAGACAGTAATAGTCATCATCATAATCATCACTATGATCATCATCATCATCATCATCATCATCATCAATGTCCACTTCTACTGTTAAGCGGTGTTCACCTAGGTGGGTCTCTTGCTTTCACCTCGGATCTTTTTATGTGTAGCGCCTGCATTGCTAGTTGTTCTTGTCACATTTTTACTAAATGACCAAACCAATTGATATTCTGTTTCTTAGTGAATTTACTGCATGGTGTTTCTACAGTCTGTCTGATAACATTTCTAACTTTGTCCCGGGTGGCTGAATTGGCGGCTTTTCTCAGGCATTTCATTTCACAGGTGTTAATTTTACGTAGGATAGCCTTTGATAATGTTTTATGTTTTGCATTAAACAAGGAACACTGTGACAGATGTAACAGAAAACAACTATATAGAAATTATACATCCCGTAGTTAGTTCGTTAGTCGAAAGATCTTCCACACTGCACATCGAACCATTCAGCCAATAAGTGTTCAGATCCCTTCCTCGGTAAATCCCACAACGTATAGAGGCTGACGTCATGAGTCCTGTGTTGGTTGGCTTCCTGCCTAGTGCTCTTGTCTGACCATACCCCTTTTTACGTTCTATTTTTGCACGCATTGACACTTAGATTCGCTGCCCACATATTCGCAAACGTTTAAACTGCATAATGTTAAACTAGCCAGCAGTAGAGACTCACGACATTTACTAGGAGGCACTCGGTTTCTGAGGCGACCCAGAATACAGTTCCCTTGTTGTGGGCGACCCTTTAATACAGTTCCTTCGCAAAACAGGTTTTTCCTTAAGACAGTAATAGTCATCATCATTATCATAATACAGTTCCCTCATCATCAACTATCCTTTTCATCATCCTTCATGTTGAGAGGCGACCAATTAATCCAGTTCCCTACTGTTGTGGCGGCGTGGGTACCCTTACCTACTGGGGATCAAGTTAACTTCATTGCTAGGCACCATCATAATACAGTTCCCTCATGTTGTAGCGACCCTTTAATACAGTTCCTTCATGTTGGGGCGACCCATTAATACAGGTTCCCTCATGTTGTGGCGAAACCATTAATACAGTTCCCCCATGTTGTAGCAACCCTTTAATACAGTGTTCCCTCATGTTTGGCGACCCTGTCTGATATACATTTCCCTCATGTTGTGGCGACTTTTCTAATACAGTTCCCTCATGTTGTCACACGAGCAGACCTGTTAATACAGTTCCCTCAGGTTGTGGCGACCATTAATACAGTTTCATGTTGTAGCGATTATTAATACAGTTCCCTCATGTTTAGCGACCCTTTAATACAGTAACCTCGTGTTTGGCGACCCAAATACAGTTCCCCAATGTTGTGGCGACCCATTATACAGTTCCCCTATGTTGTTCGGCGTCCCAATAATACAGTTCCCTCATGTTGTGGCGACCCATTAATACAGTTCCCTCATGTTGTGGCGACCCATTAACACAGTTCCCCTATGTTGTGGCGACCCATTAATACAGTTCCCCAATGTTGTGGCGACCCATTAATACATTAATACAGTTCCCTCGTGTTGTGGCGACCCATTAATACAGTTCCCCCATGTTGTGGCGACCCATTAATACAGTTCCCTTATGTTGTGGCGACCCATTAATAGTTCCCCTATGCTGTGGCGACCCATTAATACAGTTCCCTCATGTTGTGACGACCCATTAATACAGTTCCCCCATGTTGTGGCGACCCATTAATACAGTTTCCCCATGTTGTGGCGACCCATTAACTCAGTTCCCTCATGTTGTGGCGACCCATTAATACAGTTCCCTCATGTTGAGATGACCCTTTAATACAGTCCCCGCATGTTGTAGCGACCCACAAACATTTTTTTCCCTTCATAACTCAAGGAATATGTGTTTTCCGATTGTCTTATGGCGACCCCTGGGAAAGGGTCGTTCGACCCATATAAAAAAGGGTCGCGAACAGCAGGTTGAAAACCGCTGTCGTAGAGAATTCCGTATGCAGCCGATCTATGGTTCGTTCGCCCTTACATATCCCACACACAGCCTCAGTGGTTGAACTAGATTCATAGAAAACTATATTTGTGTTAGTGTTTAATTTCATAAAATAAATACGGTTTATTTCCCATTCAATTAAAACACTTAACATTTTACTCTCACCTATTTGTTTCCTTCACTCGTCTTTTCAGACAAATGCTAGGAATAAAGCCAGTCTTACAGGTCATCAAAGAACAACAAATTATGTAGTTTGTACACCTAACAAGAATACCCTGGTACTATCCGCCACAGCGAGCCACACTAAAACGTTACAACGGGTATAGAGCGAGTGGAAGACCTCGGAAACTATGGAGTGATGGCATTAAGAACAGCCTTATAGAAATGAACATCAGTCTCAATAGTGCTCTTGACAGAGCTCTTCAACGAACATTACATCTCCCCCCGACACTTCGATGAGGTAAAAGGTGGAAGAGAAAAAGAAGAAGAAGACTCGTCTTTCTTTCGTTAAATTTTTTCTGTCTTTCTGCTTTCCTTTTGCCTTTCATTCTTTCGTTCTTTTGTTTTAATTTCATGTTTGTCATTTTTTCTTTCTGTTGACCATTTTGTTTATTTTTCCTAACCTGTTATTCTTTCTTTTTGCCTGCCTGTTAGTGTTTATTTCTTTCATACTTTTGTTCTTTCCTTTCATGTCTGATTTGCGGAATTATATCACATTCTTCTCTTTTACCGAAACAAAAGCAAAATTTCGCTGATTTCCACCTACTTTTCGAGCTCACGTTATAGTACTGACCTGAATGATCGTCATCATGTGTAGAATGTTGAGGAAGCTGACCAGTGCAGCTAAAGTAGTGGACACGATGGAAGACACTGCACGGAGGTGTAAACATCGGGTTACAAGACATAAATGGTAGATCTACACCCGCCCCCATTTATATACTCAACTACCTATACTACTAAAATCGGCGTCTGTGGCTTAGGTGTTGCGAACAGGCTGCGTAATTCTGAGGTGCTGGGTTCGATCCCAGCTGCAGGCGATCTGGCAGCAGACCGTCATGCGTTGGTTCCCACGGTAATATCGAAAGCCGACCGTACATGAAGCAATGGCAAACTACTGAACATAACATTTGCCTAAAAAACCACAACAGCCAAAACATGCTGAGGTTGGTTCTGCAACGTCCTGTAAAAGAAATGTAACTACCTTAAACATTTGAAAATACATCGCTTATAAGCCAACACACAGCTACGTGGACTTATCACACACATATACTGACAGACCAATACACACCTATATGTACCTACCACCCACATATACTGATAGGCCAACACCACAGCTATATGTACCAGTCACCCACACATATTGATAGGCTAACACACAACTATATGTACCGATCACCCGCATATACTGATAGGCTAACACACAACTATATGTACCAGTCACTCACATATACTGACAGGCCAACACACAGCTATATGTAACTATCACCAACATATACTGATAGGCTTACACACAACTATATGTGCCTATCATCCACACATACTAATAGGCTAACAAAGCTATATGTAAATATTACCCACATATACTGACAGGCTAACACACAACTATATGTACCGATCACCTGCTTATACTGATAGGCTAACACACAACTATATGTACCGATTACCCACATATATTCATAGGCTAACACACAACTGTATGTACCTATTACCCACACATACTGATAGGTCAACACAGAGCTATATGTACCTATCACCAACATATATTGATAGGCTAACACAGAAATATAAGTACCTATCACCAACATATGAAGGTATTTCACTCTTTCAGTACTAATGAACTCACCATGCGTTTACTAATTACCTAATTCGCGGTAGACATTTATTTCTCAACCCATTCTCTTCAGTTCTTTTGTAACACTGACTTATTTTATTCCAAAGATTATTATGTTATAGCTGAGTTAGCTAATCTCAATAAGACCCCAAAACTGTCCTTATAACGAACACACACTTTAGAACAGACAGTATCAAAGCAACAACCATCTCGGACTGACAGAGGTAACCAAATCTGAACCAATAACAGCAGTTAGCGGGCTAACACAAATCTAGTTATATAAAGGATGGACAGAAAGGCGACTGCAGGAGATCTCCTCCCTGGCACAACGCTCATTCCCTGTCCTAACTGTCCAAGAACTTTTCGGGCCCGCATCGGTCTCAGTCTTCGTACTCATACTTGATGAAAAAAGAGTGGTCATCATCATCTTGATGGACAACATACACACATTATACCCACCCCTCACACACCAGTTGGCTACACCAGTGGTTCTCAGTTTTTATAACCCATGGACCATCTGGTCTTTTTCTTTTTCTTTTGAACGCCATGCCACGGTCCTAATACTTTTTAATAGTTAAAAAAATGTTTTTTTTTTTTTTTTCAACATACCTATACTTCCTACACGCATTCAAATATCAAGACACACGTGGAGCATTTTTTTTTAACCAACTTATGTAACTTACATATGATCACATGACTGTACTGGTAGTTCAACATACATATTTATGCCTGCCTATAAATACAAAATTTACCTTCCTACAATGGGGAAGTCAATGTTTCACCATTTTTACGACAATGAGGAAGTACATTTCTTACTATTATTACAACAATGATAGGGAAAAAGTCTCACAATTTTTACGACAATGAGGAAGTAAATGTTCTCACCAATTTTACCGTAACAAAGGAAATGTTTCACCATTTTTACAACAACAAGGAAGTACATTTCTCACTATTATAACAACAACGAGGAAGTGAATGTTTCACCATTTTTACCACAAAGAGGAAGTAAATGTCTCACAAATTTTTTCCTTTGAGAAAGCAAATGTCTCAAAAATTTACCACAAGAAGTAAATGTTTCACCATTTTTACGACACATAGAGAAAGGAAATGTTTCACAATTTTTACGACACTAGAGGAAGGAAATGTTTCACCATTTATACAACAACGAGGAAATCAATGTTTGACCAGCAAGCAAATGTCTCGCCTTGTTTTCACCACCGCAAACAAGTAAATGTCTCACTATATTTTTTTTTTTAAACAACGAGAAAGTGAATGTCTCAACATTTTTTACCACAGCAAAAGAGTAAATGTCTCACCTTTAATGGCGTAGGCAACATTGTATACGAGCAGAGAGATATCTCGCTCAAGGATTCGCCCTTGAGAGTCGTCAGGCTGTTGATGCCAGCCGATCTTATCCAGCTGTTCTACCACAGAATCGAGGACTATGTCTAGAATGTTCACTACATACACGTAGAATTCTACTGTTACCTAGCCACGATGGAAGATAAAATAAAAAAATAAAAACAGTTGAAACAATTTCTCCACTCACCCCCTCCTAACATACTTGTTAGGGGGCAGTGGATCTATTTTCCCGCTCCTCCTAAAAATGTGGGGCATGTTCGAATCATTTTCAAGGAGAAATGGTTTGGTTTTACTACAATCTCTCCGCGATACACACTATCGCACTCCTGATTTGTCGACCTCTAGTCATCCGACCGTCGGACACCGCTAGAGGGGCGTTCGGCAATGCGTTCATGTCGCGTGTTGTATATTTAAGCACGCCAGCGCTTTTAACACTACAAAATATTCACAAACTGGGTCTAACCGTCAACCCCCTAGAGAGTGCTGCAACCTATGACACATGCATTTTCTTTTTTGGAAGAAAAACGTAAATGCAAGACAAGCCAGACCCCCCCCCCCCCCCCCCCCCCCCCTGGACAGCAGACGAGTATTAAAAAATCTATCAATGGACCTAGTTCGGATGGGGAGATTATAGTAAATCACACCGCAGAAATGTTCATTTAGTGACCTGGACCCCCGGGTTGACGCATCTGAAACTAGGTCAAGGTCAAGCAAAGGCAAATGCTCTGATATTAACCACAGCACAGGTATTCTGCAGGGAACGGTTTTCTTTTCTTCATTAGTACTGTAATAGATACACCGTGATAAGTTAAATCTCGTTTATCTAGAAAACGAAACTCCCTGGTTGCGGGGATCTCAAGGGTCACCCCAGGCAAATGAAGACAGCGTCAATGATCATGACGGTTAAATGATTATGACGACACAATCAAGCGCACGGTGTTGTGGATGATATTGCCGATGAAGCAGAAGACAGATAGTGGTGAGTGAGAGGATGCGGATTATGATTGTGGAAGTGGGGATGATGTTGCCGATGAAGCAGAAGACAGATAGTGGTGAGTGAGAGGATGCGGATTATGATTGTGGAAGTGGGGATGATGTTGCCGATGAAGCAGAAGACAGATAGTGGTGAGTGAGAGGATGCGGATTATGATTGTGGAAGTGGGGATGATGTTGCCGATGAAGCAGAAGACAGATAGTGGTGAGTGAGAGGATGCGGATTATGATTGTGGAAGTGGGGATGATCTTCTTCTTCTTCTTCTTCGCGTTCACCAGCTGTAAACTCTGGCGGAAGGTTCTGGTTGCTCGTCCACTACTGAACTGCAGTCCTGCTCCAGAACATGAGTGTTGCGTGTGCATCAGTTTTACAGATCTCATTCTCTTGAATACAGACTGTTGGTTCCTTGCCTCTCCGGCAGATGCACTCCGACTTCAAAGGAAGCTCCCCAATTAGTCGACTCTTACGACATGCTTTTGGGGAGGCAGTGGGTCTATTCTTGTTTTCCCCACAATGGGGCCCCGGAACCCACACGGGGGAGTGGGGATGATATTGCCGATGAAGCAGAAGACAGATAGTGGTGAGTGAGAGGATGCGGATTATGATTGTGGAAGTGGGGATGATATTGCCGATGAAGCAGAAGACAGATAGTGGTGAGTGAGAGGATGCGGATTATGACTGTGGAAGTGGGGATGATATTGCCGATGAAGCAGAAGACAGATAGTGGTGAGTGAGAGGATGTGGATTATGATTGTTATGATTGTGGACAAGTGTGGTGATGAGAGGATGCGGATTTGATTGTGGAAGTGTGGATGATATTGCCGATGAAGCAGACATGATAGTGGTGACAGATAGGATATGACTGTGAAGTGTGAGAGGATGAAGCAGAAGACGGATGTTGGATATGATTGTGGAAGTGGGATGATATTGGGGAGCCGATGATGCAGAAGGACAGATAGTGGTGAGTGAGAGGGA